CCCCCCCCCCCCCCCCCCCCCCACCCCCACCCCCGAAACCTTCTTCTAAGTATTCAGGCCCCTTGAATAGGGGCCTTATCTGCGCCTTTCACTGCAGTAGACTTTGGTTTAGGGTTTAGGGTTTAGGGTTTAGGGTTTAGGGTTTAGGGTTTAGGGTTTAGGGTTTAGGGTTTAGGGGTTTCTACAACTATACCCTGAGACTCCGAGCATGCCCCCAAGAGCACCCTTGTCCTAGCTTAGGGGCTTCAAGGGTTCAAGGGTTTCGGGTTTAGGGTTTAGGGTCCCAGACCCTTGGAAGCGTGCTTGGCGATCTAGTGTGCAGGGTTTAGGAGTTTAGGATCTCTACCAGGATCGGCTCCTTGGGCCTTATCATCTCCATACTTACAGAATAGAGGGCCACTTTCAGGGGTTTAGGGGGTAGGGTTTAGGGTTTAGGGTTTAGGGTTTAGGGTTTAGGGTTTAGGGTTTAGGGTTTAGGGTTTAGGGTTTAGGGTTTAGGGTTTAGGGTTTAGGGTTTAGGGTTTAGGGTTTAGGGTTTAGGGTTTAGGGCCCATCCTGGTAGGGGGGGTATCTGGGGCGACGGCCAGGCACTACTGCCATGTGGATTGCCCCGGCCACGCGGACTACGTCAAGAACATGATCACAGGAGTCCTTGAGCACTCCGCGGAGCTTCAGGGTACTTAGTAACCCGTTCTACGTGTAGTTTTAGGGTTTAGGGTTCAGGGTTTAGGTTGTAGGGTTTAGGGTTTAGGGTTGTAACCCACATATAAGCTCCTTAAGTACCCTAATGAGGTTATAATTGGTTTATAAGTGCAGCTATAGTTGGGATACTAAGTACCATGAGCCTCCAAGTAAGGGGCGTGTACCTGATGTCGACCGCCTTGCATCAGCCAGGTCCAGCGGCGTAGCTCGGAACATGTACTCCCATCTCTAGGACAAATATGTTCTCCGCCTTGCAGGCCCTAAGCCAATGCTATGAACCCCTTGTAGGCTCTTTACGGGTACAACCCGAGAACCTGACTCTACATAGGCCCTAAACCGCCAAATCCTATCAGCCCTTAGAAGCCCTAACGCCCTAACAAACCTTCAAGACTCTGTACCCTCAGCCCCCCCCCCCCCCCCCCCCCCCCCCCCCAAATTAAACCCTCCGCCATAAAATCCACTTTAAACCCGAAGACCCCACCAAACAAACAATAACATGGCCCCAAAAGACTAAATCGCCAGCAACGAGAAACCCTTCAATTCCCCCCCTCCCCCCATAACCCCAAACTCCAAACCCCAAACCCCCAAACCCGAAACCCTAAGCACGAAACTCTTGCCTCCCCTCTCTGTCACCTGGGTCATTGTTGAAATCATTTTACATCTTTATGAGTACTTAAACCCGATAAGGAACAAAAATGATCATTTATAATAGTACCCCAAACCCTAAACCCTGAACCCTGTACTCTAAACCCTAAGCCCCAAACCCGAAGCCCTGAACCCCAAACCCCCAACCCCCAAACCCCCAAACCCTAAACTCTTGCCTCCCCTCTCTGTCAAGGAGCCTCCTAGATAAAGCAATCGATAAAAAGTAGAAAGTCCCCAGAACACAACCAGCCCCAAAAGCCTCCTAAACCCCATAGCCTATACCCAGTGACCCTCACCTCCCCCTCTCTCTGTCACCTGGGTCATTGGAAAAAATGGTTCCCAACAATAACCCTAAACCCTAAACTCCTACCTCCCCTCTGTCAAGGAGCCTGCCAGATGGACGGCGGCATCCTCGTCATCTCCTCCCCGGATGGACCCATGGCACAGTTCCTCGGCGGCCGGTTTTGGGGTTTGGGGTTTAGGGTTTAGGGTTTGGGATTTGGGGTTTGGGATTAGGGTCTAGGGTTTGGGGTTTGGGGTTTCGGGATCTTGGGGCTATTTTGTGTCTTAGGGTTGCAGGGTTTAGGGTTGTGGGGTTGCAGGGTTTAGGGTTGTACGGTTGCGGGGGTCTTGGGGTCTCTTGCGGGTCCTAGCGTTCTTGGGGTCTGAGGGTCTTTGGGTTTGTAGGGTTTACAGGGTTTATAGGGTCTAGGGTCCTAGTGTTTGGGTTTATAGGGTCTAGAGTTAAGGCTTTGGATTTACGGGCCGAGTCTAGGGTGGAGGGTTTGCGGTTTAGGGCTTAGGGTCCTGGGTTGAGTGGTCTGGTGTTTGGCGGCTTTGTTGTCCACCTGCAGATGTTTTTTTTGGGGGGGCATTACCTTAGGGTTTACTTGGAGGTTCCAGGGCTGCGTCTGTAGAAATAGTGTGATTTGTGTGTGGGTGGGTGGCGGGGTATGGCAATTATGATTCGGAGCTCTGCCCAAAAACTTGAATACCTAATTTTAAACCCCAAACCCTTCGAAACCCTAAAGCCCAGACCCCACCCTCAACCCTGAATCAGCACTCCCCTCCACGCCCTCACCCTAAACCCTAAACCCTGAACCCTGAACCCTAAACCCTAAACCCTACACCCACACGTCCCCAACTAAGGACTCGTGAGCACATCCTCCTGTCCAAGCAGGCAGAGCATGCACGCCACACTTGGAGGTTCATGGTACTCAGTATATAACCCAATTGTAACTGCACTTATAGCCCAATCATAACCCTATCAGGGTACATAAGGGGCTATATGTAGGTTATAGCTACACTTATTATGGGTTACTAAGCACCCTGAACCTCCAAGTAGGGGGCATTGGGCATTTGCGGGGTTGAGTCTTAGAAAACCCTAAACTTCGGATGCTGCCCCTTATACGAACAGTCTTTCATAGGGATTATAGTACCCCCCGATGATAATCTCTATTAAGGACTGTTAGTATAAGGGTGAAAATCCCAACCCTAAACCCCTTAAACCTAAACCCTAAACCCTAACACCTAAACCCTGACGCCATCAGGCTTCGGAGATGCATTGCGGCCCTTGTAGACCAGAAGTGTGGTTTTTCGGGCATTTTTGTTGGCCTGCCTGTCTAGCTTGGCCTTTAGGTTTTGGGGGGGTTTGGTCCTGGGGCTGTCGGACTTATTGCTCTAGGGACTGTAGTGAGGGTCTTGGGTCGTTCAGGATTTTCAGAGTTCAGGTTGAGGGCTCTCGGGCGCTCTAGTGTGCTTTATCACTTCTTTTAATGGCATTATAAGGCTTTTGAGGGCTTTATAGGCCCTTATCTCTGTTTGTTAAGGGCTTCTAAGGGCTTTAGGGCGTTCGAGCTTTAGGCTGGCCGTGGCTGACTTGCTTTGCAGCCCTGTCGAGGTTAGCATTCCGAGTGCAGTTTGCGTAACACATGAGCAGCGAGGAGGCGGCGCACACATGCAGCACTTTAGGAGGCAACACTTGGGCGCATAGCAGGGCGATGGCTACTGTGGCTGGGTTTCGCAAAGCAATCGGCGGCTTGCTGAGGAACCCGGAGGTTGAAGGGTTCAAGAAGGACCAGTTGGTCGCGATGCTGGGGTGGAGCGACGCGGTGGTTCGACGTCCCTCAAGCCCCCCCAGACCCTAAGGCCCCAAGCCCCGGCAAAGAACGAAACCCTAAGCCCTAAACCCTAAAAACACGAAACCCTAAACCCAAAACGCACGCAACCCTGTGATCCAATATTCTAAGGTTAGAACCATGGACCCTTATATGGTCCCTACCCTTGTTTATAGGGATCCGAGGTCTGGGCCCTTATTATGTACAGTGTATCTAAGGGTTATGTAGCAAAGGACCCAAATCTAAACCCTAAACCCTGAACCCTAAACCCTAAACCCTAGACCCTAACCCTAAACCCTAAACCCTAAACCCGAAACCCTAAACCCTAAACCCTACTGGGGCCCTACAAGCACCCTAAGACCCTGAAGTTGAAGGCTGCACTCTGGATTCCGCAGGTGGGTGTGCCTGCCCTCGTGTGCTTCATGAACAAGGCCGGTAAGCTTGGGACTTTAGGAAAGGGGTCAGGGTTTAGGGTTTAGGGTTTAGGGTTTAGGGTTTAGGGTTTAGGGTTTAGGGTTTAGGGTTTAGGGTTTGGGGTTTGGGGTTTGGGGTTTGGGGTTTGGGGGTCTTGGAGCCCGAGGTTTAGGGCTACATCAGGGTTGAGCGCGTATTGTGATTGCTGCGGGCATGAGTTTGGCGACAACACAGTTCGAAACATGAAATGGTAGCAGCAGTCACCCACAGGGTTGATTTGTAGGACTGACTATTATGGAGCTAGGTACCCCCCCCCCCCAAAAAAAAAAAACAAAACTATGTAGTGTGGTGAACTAATTCCAGAAAAGTACTACAAATGGACCCTCTGGGTCATGATCAATCATAGTTTCCGCCTCAGTTACCTATACTGCTTTAGGGGTTGCATCACTGCAACTGGGGTATACCCTACAAGTCTGTACGGTTAGGTGTTTCGAGCTTCAGGGTTCAGACTGGGTTCAGATTACAAATGACACACCCTACACCCCGACGCCTTGCGGTGGCTTTCGCGTTTGTCCCTTAAGGGCCCTCCCCCCCAACTCCCGTCCCCCTAGAAGAGAAAAAACACTTTCCGGTATTTAGGGCTTACCCTAAACAACCCTAAACCCTCTAAACCCAAATCCCCAAACCGCCCCTCTGAAATTCAACTGCTATTTGCCTAAGGACCCCCCCCCCCCCCCCCCAAAAAAAAAAAAAAAAAAAAGCTAACAGATAACACCCTTGTAATGAGGAAGAATGTCATATTTTTGGGAGTTCCTAAGCTTTAAACCCTAAACCCTAAACTCCAAACCCCAACCCCTCTAACCCCTCTAACCCTCCAAACCCAGAACCCTAAACCGCTCGTTTTGAAAATAGGGATTTCCAAAAATGGGGGGGTACCCCTTACATGCCCTAAAATACTCTAATCCCAATCAAGGAGCCCAACAAAACCTTAAACCCTAAACTCTAAACCCTAAACCCTAAAGAACCCTAAACCCTAAAGAACCCTAAACCCTAAACCCTAAACCCTAAACCCTAAACCCTAAACCCTAAACCCTAAACCCTAAACCCTAAACCCTAAACCCTAAACCCTAAACCTAAAACCCCCTAAACCTAAGCCCTAAGCCCTAACCCCCCTAAACCCCTAAACCCTAAACCCTAAACCCTAAACCCTAAACCCTAAAACCTAACCCTAAACCCTAAACCCTAAACCCTAAACCCTAAACCCTAAACCCTAAACCCTAAACCCTAAACCCTAAACCCTAAACCCTAAACCCTAAACCCTATTCAAGGTGGACATGATGGACGACGAGGAGCTCCTTGAGCTGGTCGAGCTGGAGACCCGCGAGATGTCCCGGGGCCGAAAGTTGTTTGTTGGGGTTTATGGCTGGGGTTTAGGGTTTAGGGCTTAGGGTTTAGGGTTTAGGGTTTAGGGTTTAGGGTTTAGGGTTTAGGGTTTAGGGTCTAGGGTTTAGGGCTTAGGGCTCAGGGCTTAGGGTCCAGGATCTAGGGTCTGGGGTCTAGGGTTTAGGGTTTAGGGTTTCGGGAGGGGTTTGCCTAGAGTTGAAGGGGTTGTAAGACGGTTTTGGGTTTAGGGAGGGGGTTCAAGGATGCCCAGTAGTAGGGTTAGTTTAGGTCTATATATACATATATATATATATATATATAGTTATATGTATATATATATATAGCAGATATATACATATATATATATAGGCTTTTGGCGGCTTATGCGAGGTTTGAGGCTGCCGGCTACCCTTGAAGGCTTTCTGTTGGGGACTTTTGGGGTTTGGGGGTTTGGGCGGTGTAGCTTTTTTGGGGTTCTGGTCTTAAGGTTTTGGGGCGTGTGGGTTTATGGGGGGGGGGAGCTTCAGGACTTTAGTTGGGGTTCAGGGTTGGTAGGGTTTCCGGTTTAATTATAGAGAATGGACACTTGAGGGATCTGCGGGTTCCAAGTCGTTGCGAGGCCTCTAGGCTTGGTGGTTTTGGCTTTTTTGGGGTTCCTGGTTTAGTGTTCAGGTTTGCCGGCTTTTGCGGTGGACACGCGCGCCATGGAGGGATCCACTCCCTAAACAGAGTGGGCCTCCGCCGAAGTGATGGTAGGTTTTCTGCGCTTACATGTGTTTGGTAGCTGGTACTGATAACAGGGATGATTCGAAACTGCGACCCGGAACACCCTAAGCCTAAACCCTAGAACCACCTTACGCAGGAGAGGCCGTAACCCTCCAGACCCCCCAAGCACTTTTTTATAGAGGAGCGAGTACTAATAGTAGTCTCTTAATTATGGTTCCTTTGTAAATATACTATAATGACCCCCAACACCCTGTTCTCATGATTAAGGCCCCCTATATTAGACCAGTCAATGTTTCCTTGAATGCCGAGGTTGAGCCAGTACGGCTTCCCGGGAGATGACACACCCTTCATCCAAGGACCCGGAAGCAAGACGTGAGCTACAGCGAAATCCGCGAATCCTCTAAAGGGTTTCTGACTTCCCTAAACCTAGACCCTCAACCCTAAATCTTAAAGGTTTCGGGTGACTTTGGGGTGGGGTGGTTTGGAGGGAAGGAGGTTCAGGGCTTGAGTTTAGGAGCTAGCCCCCAAACCCTAAACCCCAAACCCTAAACCCTAAACCCCAAACCCTAGACCCCTAGCTCCTAGAGCCCTATATACTCTTCTCACGTGCACCTCACTAAGGGCTTAGCAGCCCTTCCTAGGTTACCTTAAACCCTATAAACCCTATAAACCCTATAAACCCTATAAACCCTATAAACCCTATAAACCCTATAAACCCTATAAACCCTAATCTGCTCTTAGATTTGTCTTGGGTGCGGTGATGGGTTCCCTTCTTTCAAGCTCCATCAAGCAAAAAAAATCCTGCCTTGTTATTTTCCAGGTAGGCCCTTGCGACATGTCTCTCACTCGGGCAAGAGGCTCATATTTCGGAATATTGTCGCAGGGTGTTAAGGGCCAACCTTGTTTCTAATCGAGCTACAAAATGGCAAGCAAGCCTGGTGGTGCTTGAGAAGCATGGGGGGTGGGGGAGGTGCGGCGGTTCTGGTGTTCACTTAAGGCTTTACGGCTTGCCGGACTCAAGCAACCCAAGTCCACAAAGCCGAAACCAAACCGAACAGCTCTTGATCAAGGTTGGGACCCTCAAAGCTCTCAGGGCTTCGGGTTTAGGGATGTTAAAGCCTAAACCCCTAAAACCCTAAACTAACCCAAAACCCTAAACCCTCACCCCTCACCCCTCACCCCTCAACCCCTCAACCCCTCAACCCCTCAACCCTCAACCCTCAACCCTCAATCCTCAACCCTCAACCCTCAACCCTCAACCCTCAACCCTCACCCCTCACCCCTCAACCTCCCGACCATGAAACCTCTCGGGCGTCCAGGATCCGCACTCCAGGCTCTGGAGACGATGAAGTCCAACCCGGGCACCAAGAAGGGCCAGGGCCCCAGGGTGCGGGGTTTAGGGTTTAGGGTTTAGGGTTTAGGGTTTAGGGTTTAGGGTTTAGGGTTTAGGGTTTAGGGTTTAGGGTTTGGGGCTTCAAGTCTAGGACCTCAGAGGTAGCAGACCCATAGCCACTGCGAGCCATACTTGGCACCGAGGCGATGACAAGTGGGTGGACAAGATCCTGGAGCTCATGGAGACTGTGGACGAGTATATCCCCACGCCGGAGCGCGACACGGACAAGCCTTTCCTGCTGGCCGTGGAGGACGTGTTCTCCATCTCGGGCCGAGGCACCGTGTGCACGGGCCGCGTCGAGCAGGGCATCGTCAAGAAGGGCGATGAGGTCGAGATCCTTGGCCGCGGCAAGAAGCCGCAGAAGTCCGTCATTACCGGAATCCGCATGTTCAACACCGACCTCCCGGAGGGCCCGGCCGGCTACACGGTGGGAGTGCTGTGCCGTGGTATCGACAAGGATGCCGTCTTCCGCGGCCAGGTGATTTGCGCGCCCGGTGCCACCAAGACCCACACCAAGTTCAAGGCGAACATCTACTTCGCCAAGAAGGACGAGGGCGGCCGCTCCAACCCGGTGATGCCCGGCTACATGCCTGTGTTCTACTTCCGTACCTGCGACGTCACGGGCAAGATCGAGGGCATGGTGAGCAGCGACGGCGATGACGTGCAGATGGCCATGCCCGGAGACAACATCACCTGCACCTAGGAACCGTGGTACCTTCGTTTCTTTTGTTTTGGGGGGGTGACTTCTGTTAGTAGGCCCGCAAACTTCCGGAGAGCCACAAACAGGTGATGGGATTTGAGAAGGGCTTTTAGGGACTTAGTGCATTCGAGCGGGGGGGGGGGGGGGGGTGAAAAGAAACCTACAAGCCTAAACCCTAACACCCTTAACCCTAAGCCCTAAGCCCTAAACCCTAAACCCTATAAACCCTTTAAACCCTTTAAACCCTTTAAACCCTTTAAACCCTAAACCCTAAGCCCTAGTTAGAGGCACCTGCGAGCTCATCGCCGGCACGCCCATCGAGAAGGGCATGCGCTTCGCCATGCGAGAGGCACTCCGCACACCCAAAGTTGAGGAAGGAGGGCTTAGGGTCCCTAAACCCTAAACCCTAAACCCCAAACCCTAAACCCTAAACCCTAAGCCCTAAACCCTAAACCCTAAGCCCTAAAAGGGTTTGCGGTTGAGGGTTTAAGGTTTAGGCTTTGCTGGGGGGATTTCAAGAGGCGTGTCGTGGGTTTAGGGTTTAAGTTTTAGGCTTTTCCTGTTACTGTTCCCTTACCATGTCCCTAAGAAGCAGCGACGACGACTTTCTGGGTTGCAGTCCAGAACAGAATTTCTGAGGGATTCTGGAATATTTAGGATTTACCAGGACCCAGAGTAGGCCCTCATTCCCTGTTTTCTAGGGTTTCGGTTCCCTTGTAGGCCACTTTAAGCCAAAAAGGGCGCCCTTTTCATTCCTAGGTTCCTCTTGGGTCTAGGGTTTATTATCTAGGGGTAGTCGCATAGTCCCTTAGTTTGGGCCCTTAAATGGGGACCCCTTCTATACCCCTGAAAAACCCTATACGTCCCAAGGGCCCATACTTCAGAAACCTTTGGGAGGTAAGGGACCATATTGAGGGCCCATATAAAAATCCTTAGATATATGGTTTCGGGATATAGGGCTTAGTTACACCGGATCGAGTTGCTCCCAATACCCTGCAGACCTTTACTTTCAGACCACACCCGGACTAGTCCGCTGTACCGCGAGGGTTTAGGGTTTAGGGTTTAGGGCTTAGGGCTTGGGGTTTGGGTTTAGGGTTTAGGGCGACCTGATACGTACCAGGTGCAGAGGTGCGGCGTCAGCTATGTGGGGTAGCTCTCTATGTTGGATCCCCCGTAGAAGGCAGCACCTTCCGAATACCTACTCTAGAACATATGGACACTGTACCCTCAACCCTAATCCCCCCCCCCCCCCCCCCCCCCGAAACCCTCCAAACCCCGAGACACTACAAATCCGAATGCCCAAAGCCCTAACCCCTAGACCCTACAAACCTAAAGCCCTAACCCCCAAACCCTACAAACCACCACAAACCCTAAAGCCTCAAGCCCGAAACCCTAAACCCTACACCCTAATGTGCAGGGCGGGCGAACCATTGGCCAGGGCCTCATCGAGGAGACCATGTGAGAGCTTTGAGCAAGAAGTGGGATCAGGGTTTAGGGTTTAGGGTTTAGGGGGCTCAGACTCCAAGCTTTCACCTTGTAGGCCCTCGTTCCTCCATAGCTTTGCGGTCTCGGTGTTTAGGCTACCAGGGTCGCTATCGGGGTATCATGGCCGGCTGTTGCCGGGATTTTCTTGCCCTTGGGCCACTTGAGCCCTGAGGCGCGCAGCCTTGCAAACAGCTGGGCAAAGCAGGAGGGTGTTTTGGGTTTAGGGCCCCCCATGCTTCTGACCATGGCTGCGAGAGGTAAGCCCCTGGAGTCTCATTAGGGTTTAGGGTCCAGCATGTGAGGCTGTGCATCAGGGATTTGCTTCTCCATAGCATTTTGCCTCGATATGGTGAAAGGTGAAGCCTGCTCACTGCAGCAGAAGATCCGCCACAAGCAACAACGCAGTCAGCACAACATTGAGGGCTTGTTCAACCCGACCACAAACCCCAAACCTTAAGTGCTGGTCTCTAGACCGTTCGGCAAGGCCGGACGCGCCGAAGTGCTGGTGGCCCCCTTTCTACTGCACGGTCCTGTTTCAATCGGACGACTATATGATTTTCAGACCATTGGAGAACCTTCGTGCTGTGGCGCCCTCGACACGCGTGGTGAGAAACCAGCCTTGCCGGGCCTGACAGTTCGAACCTCAAAGCCCTATAATCCTTAAAGTATGCTTCGAGTTGCTTACCTCAACCTCCCAGTAGCCCGACTAGTTGATGGCCGATCTACAGTTCTGTAGGGATACTGACCTCCAAATAGAGCGCATCCCCACCGCCTCTGATTAGAATGGGAACCGGGGGGTTTAGAAGTACACCCTGCCTAGATCCGAAACTCGCTGATGACTACTTCGGCTCAAGAAAGACCCGCTCGCCCTCGCGCTCCAGTGCACCGCCGCTGAGCCGGCAGTATTTGCGCACGTGCCCAGTGGTGCCCTTCTCCCTTTTTTGCGTCAAGGTTCCCTGATAAAGTGACCAACCCAAACAAGGGCACCCTTATTGAAATATGGTTGCTGGGCCAGCAATAAGTAGGTAAGCAGGGTTCAGGGACCCTAAACCCTAAACCCTAAACCCTAAACAGTGGTTTATTGACCGGGCTCGGGGTCTCTTCAGGCCTATGAGCACTTAGGGCTTACATTCGGGTTTTGCAACTGAGTCTGAGCGTGCAGAACCTGAGAGGCCAAAAAGCGGAACCCTGAAAGGTTCTGGGTTTAGGGTTGAGTTTAAGGTAAACCCTAAACCCGAAGCCCGAAACCCGAAACCCTGAACCCTAAACCCTAAACCTGAACCCTCAATCCTGGAATCCTGAGCCTCCAGGTGTCCCACGCCGGCAAAGCATCATGGCCCGAAGCCGCCTGGGCCCCAGCTACTAGTTACTAGTTTAGGGTTTAGGGTTTAGGGTTACTACCAGGGTTTCCTTATGGTCCCTATATACATATACTCTACTAACCCCCAAAACCCTATTCAAATTATTAAGCGCCCTATATGATCGACTTTCTCCGGTCTATATGATCGATTTCTCCGGCCATAGTGATCTTAAAGGGCTTCGGGCTTGGGATGGTCCTGGCTATTGTGTGGGTTTGGGGTTTAGGGTTTCGGGTTTGGGGTTTAGGGTTTAGGGTTTAGGGTTTGGGGTTTGGGGTTTAGGGTTCAGGGTTCAGGGTTTAGGGCTTAGGTTTTGTTGAGCTTGTGTTTGGGGTTAGGGTTAAATCCCTGAGAATCTTAACAGGCTTAAGAACCCTAAACCCTAAACCCTAAACCCTAAACCCCAAACCCCAAACCCCAAACCCCAAACCCTAAACCCTAAACCCTAAACCCCAAACCCCAAACCCCAAACCCCAAACCCTAAACCCTAAACCCTAAACCCTAAACCCTAAACCCACCCTAAACCCACCCTAAACCCTAAACCCTAAACCCTAAACCCTAAACCCTAAACCCTAAACCCTAAACCCTAAACCCTAAACCCTAAACCCTAAACCCTAAACCCTAAACCCTAAACCCTACCCCGAGCCGCAGTTGTTGTTCAGGGTTCGGGGTCTTGGGGCTCTTTGAAGCGATATAGTGTCAAGCGTTTTAGGGTTGAGGGTTTAGGTTTAGGGTTTAGAGTTTAGGGTTTAGGGTTTAGGGTTTCGGGTTTAGGGTTTCGGGTTTAGGGTTCAGGGTTTAGGGTTTAGGGCGGTCTAGGGCCTAGGGGGATTCGATCTCAGAGGCTTTGTACCCTCAGCCATAAGTCCGCCAGACCTTAAACCCCATGAAGCCTAAGATCTCCCTTCTGAACTCTCAACAAAGCAATGCAACACTCGTATCACCAAGCAACGAAAACCCTCCAAAGCCTTCAAACACTCCCAAGTAAACCTGAAAAAGCCCTCCCAGGACCCTGAAAAAGCGCCACTAAATCCTAAACCCTAAACCCTAAAAGGAACCCAAAAAGCCGTCAACAACCCAACAAAAAACGACCCTTAAAACCTATGAGGCGCCCCTCAGAAAACCTTCACGGTTTTTAGGTTTAGGGCCTAGGGCTGAAGGCTAAGCCCTAAACTCTAAACCCTAAACCCTACACCCTAAACCCTAAACCCCCGCCCCCCATATCCAGGACCCACCACTATGGCTCTGGGTGGCGCTGCGGCCACTGCCGCAGTGGCCTGGGGCCCACGTCGAAACAGAAGTCGTTAGGATTTTGTAGGGTTTAGGGTTTAGGGTTTAGGGTTTAGGGTTTAGGGTTTAGGGTTTAGGGGGCTTGCAGGGCTTTGTAGGGTTTATGGGGTTTGTGGTTTTTGAAGGCTTGATATAGAATTTTTGCTGGGTTATTTATGGGTTTTTTATCTAGGGTGTATGTGGGGTTTTTGAGTTTAGGGCATACGGGGTTTGAGGATTTCGGGTTTAGGGCTTTAGGGTCTGTAAGGGGTGGCTTGATGAGGTAGCTGTAGGGTGTTAAGTTAGTGTTAAGTTTCATTTTGTTGCTTTGCTTTTCGGCTGTTCGTGCTCCAGGGCTTCTACGGCTATAAGGGGTGTTTAGGGGGTTATGGCTTTACGGGTTTAGGGCTTGAGGGGTTTAGGGAAGAAAAGTTCAGAGGTTGAGGTGTGTAGGGCAAGGTGTTGAGTCTAGTCTAGGGCTTTAGGGTTTAGGGCTTTGGGGCTCTGGGTTTAGGGGTTTTTGTTCAGGGTTCAGGCTGTTAGGGTTTTCTAGGGTTACAAAGTTAGGTTCAGGCGTTTCGGGTTAAGGGCTTAAGTTTTTAGGGTTTAGGGTTTAGGGTTAGGGGTCTACAGTTTTGGGTTTATACTCTCCGCACACTCAAGGGCACGAAGAAGACGAAAGCCTAAAGCCCCCTCAACCCGGGCCGCGGTCACATGACACCTCCAATGCTTGCATCTCACGGAACCCTAAACCCTAAGTGATCCTCTTAAACCCAACAAGGGAAAATATGAAATGTCCCACGGACCTACCCAGCGATATTGCATTTGAAGGGTTGCTCTAAGTAGCTGAGCCCCTAAACCCTAAACCCTGAACCTTGAACCCTAAGCCCTAAGCCCTAAAAGCCCCAAGCCCTAAGTCCTAAACCCTTACTGCTGTCGGTAGAATTCTGGGATGCTGGGACGACTGGAGGTCCCAAGCCTTGTGACCCCACACGCCCGCAGCACAGGTTTGGGGTTTAGGGTTCAGGGTTTAGGGTTTAGGGTTCAGGGTTCAGGGTTCAGGGTTCAGGGTTTAGGGTTTAGGGGCTCAGCTACTTAGAGCAACCCTACTTAGAGCAACCCTTCATGTGCACTGGGTAGGCCCTTGGGACATTTCAGATTTTCCCTTGTTGGGGTTTAAGAGGATCAGATGCAAGAATAGTTTTCAGAGGGTTCCAAGGGCCATCTGAGATCACCAGCCAAGAGCTGAATCTGAGTCGGCGCCCTGCACCCTACTTGGAGGTTCAGGGTACTTAGAAAACCAATGATAATTGTACTTATAACCGAATGAGACGATATGTGGGATGGGTTACTAAGTACCCTGAACGTCCAAGTATACGCTGAACCCTAAACCTTAAACCCTAAACCCTCGGCAGGGGGGCGGGAGAGGTTGGACTTGCGTCCCAGAGCTTTGCCGTGGCTGGTTCTGGATCCCACATGCAGGCCGGGCATCGGGCTGAAGCGGGTTTAGGGTTTAGGGTTTAGGGTTTAGGGTTTAGGGTTTAGGGTTTGGGGGGGGGGGGGGGGGGGTTCGGGGGTTCGAGGGTTTAGGGTTTAGGGCTTGGATGAAAAATGTTTTCTAGGGATCAGTTTCAAGGCTGCAAGAGAGTCTGCAGCAAGATTGCGGGTTAAGGCGATTAGCCCAGAGACTCCAAAACCCCTTAATCAAGGAATATACCTTAAATCATATTAGGGTTCCTATTCTATTGTAGGGTATATTCCTTAATTAAGCGGTTTTGGAGTCTCTGGGAGGGTAGTTTTTGCATGGCCAACCAGAGATGTCAGAGGCATTGTAAGCAAACTGCATGGCAGGAATAGCTGGTGACCCCCCAGAGCCCTATAGTACCCATATGAGGAAGAGTAGTTTGTTTGTTTTTGCTTCAGGGGGAGGTTCTTAGAAGCAAACATTAGGCAATACAGGATCTATTTCCGTATTCCACTTGGGATGTTCCCCCTTATATTAACAGTCCTGCAGAGGGATACTACCCCCATTAGGTTCCCCCTCAAATAACCTAATTGTCCTCAAATCTCCCTAATGATGGGGGAACCTAGCGGGGGTATAGAGGGGGGTAGTAGGGGAACCCATGATACTACAATCCAACCCTAAACCCTAAACCCTTTAGTATAAGGGAGAACGTCCCAAGATTCCCCATTGAGGGAGGATCGGGTCCGGTGTGCATCCTGTTGAAAGGAAGTTCACTTTCCTTTGGCAGCTCTGCAACCTAGAGATTGGGTTTAGGGTTTAGGGTTTAGCATTTAGGGTTTAGGGTTCAGGGTTCAGGGTTTGGGGTTTTGGGGTTTAGGCTGACATTGAGGTGTCTTCCTACAGCCCTCACTTGTAGTTGCGGTTTTGTTGGTTCCGAATCTCACGGTCAGCTGGTATTTCTTATTCACAAACAGAATAATAAGTACACCCCCCCCCCCCCCCCAAAAAAAAAAAAAAAAAAGAACAAAAAAAAGAACATTGTAAATAATAAACCTGCTTGCATCGTCTGGAAGGAGCCAGTTCGCTCCTCTTCGCTGCGAGGCAAGGCGTCTCAGGCGCGCCGGCATGGGCCTGACCCCTAAACCCCAAACCCCAAAGGCCGCCATCATCATCAACAACAACATCATCATCAACAACATCAAAAAAAACGAAGCCTGGAGTCCTAACTAACACTAACCTAAAAACCTAACCTGAACCGTAACCCCCCCCCCCCTTTTGGGCCCTGAACCTTGAACGTTGCACCCTAGCTCCTGTACCCTGGAAACGAACCGGCAGCCTGTGCTTAGGGGTACTTGGTTTTCTCCATTTTTGGGTACTCTAACTATGGTTTTTGCTGGGGTTCCAAGCTCAGTTTAGTGTAGGGCTTAGACGCTGAAACCTTGCACCACAAGCACTTCACCCTGTGGCTTTAGACTTGTTCGGTCCTTGGGTTTGGTTGCGAGATGGTTAGGAGCAGATACCCTAAGGCTTGTAAAGCCTGCTTTCGAAACCTCAGCAGCCTGAACTTTCCTTGTTGAGTGGGGAGAGGGGGAGGGCATCTGGTTCACCCGCCAACCCTTGGTTCACCCACCATGGTTCACCCACCAAAAACAGCCCACCAAAACACCGGGTTCACCCACCAAGAAACCCCGTTCACCCCAACAAAACCCCTTGTTCACCCCAACAAAACCCCTTGTTCACCCACCAAAACCCCTGGTTCACCCACCAAAACCAGACGGACCCACCAAAAAGAGTGGGAGGGCAGGGCAGCTGCACCACCACAAAGGTTGTGCCCTACCCAGGGCACCCAGAGGGGAGAGCCTACGCACTCCTTTTTCCTTGTTTTGCTGGCAGGGTATTTCTGCCCGCCAGGCCCTTGCACACTCCTGCCCCAGAGCAGGGTAAGGCCCCCACTGGCCAGGGCCCTCCCCTGCACAACAGGGCAGAAAGGAGGAAAGGGCATCCCCTACCCTCCCCTACCCTACCATGCCTCCCATCATCCCCTACCCTCCCTGAGAAAAGGGTGGGGGGGGGAGGGGGGGAGAAAAGCCTCCTGGTCCGGTAATGGAGGGAAGGGGAGGGGAGTGGGGGGTGGGCCTGACTGCAGACACCCGGCGAGGGAGGGGGTTTGCTGGCCCGCGTTTGGGCTGGATTCATCGGGGCCACCCCACACACTTCTTTTCGCCTTCGGCACATTTTCCAACAAGGTACAGTACCAGAAAACTGAGAAGAACCCACGCTGTGAACGATCGACCCTCATCACATGACTCATACGATTTGGCTCGAAAAAAGACTGCAGGCGCGTAAGCTTCTTTGGCATTCCTGGGTTCAGGATTTCGGGATTAGGGTCTCCGGAATCCTATGCAAACCCTACAGCTAGGGTTTGTGCCAGCGACCTGTGTACCAAAGTTCCAACCCCTCCCCCCTACCCCCTCGGTAAACCCCTGGTTCACCCACCAAAACCCCTGGTTCACCCACCAAAACCCCTAATTTAATTCACCCCAAGATTCACCCACCAAAAACCCCCGTTCACCCCACCAAAACCCCTGGTTCGCCCACCAAAAACCCGGGTTCCCCCACCAAAACCCCCACCAAGAAGGACCCACCTACCACAACCCCCCGTCCCCCCCCAAAAAAAAACTCAGCAGCACCTGGTGGCCGTGTAGTCAGGCCACCCTACCCGTCCGGGGGTCGGGTAGGGCCCTACCCTACCACTCGGACCCCTGACGATCATGTAGATCAACCGCACATACATACCCTAAATCCTAAAGACTAAGCCGAACAAACCCCCCCCCCCCATGTCCAATGTGTCATAGCTAGATTGGAGTTTATAAAATTGACACCCCCCCCCTCGGAAGGAACACATGCCATAAATCCTCAAATAAAACCCCTAATCCCCGCTCCCGCAGTTGTTCTTAACAGGGTTGAGACTTTGGGAGGTATTCTTGGGCCCGAACCCTAGACCTGAATCCCATAACCTTAAACTCTAAACCTTCAACCTTGTATATCTGTACAACTCAACCGGAAGGCTTTATCATTTTGCAGCTCTACCCTAAACTCCCAACCCTGTGTTGTACCCTACTTCTTTATTACTCAGCCTAAAATTAGATCGTCTCAACCCTAGCTCTTCGTTAATCTACCCCGAGCCCTGATTGCTCAACCTGAACCATATTCCTCAACCCGAACTCCTTATTGTTCCTGCTGTTTTTTGTTTGGGTGGACGGGTGGAGTGTGCGGTTCTTGGGCATAATTTGTGTGGCTCAGGGTGGCAGAAGTAGGGGGGTTAGGGTGTAGAGTTTTGGGATGTAGGTTTTGGGGCCTAGGGGTTTACAGGCTTTAGGGTTTAGGGGTTTAGGGTTCCCTAAACCTAAACCCCAAACCCTAAACCCCAAACTCGCAGGCCCAGTCCTCGAACTTGCCCCTGGGTGCGCTGGCGCTGGTGACCGCTGGGGTGCGACGCCTGGGGTGCTGTTTGGGTTTGGGGGGTGAGGGTTTCGGGTTCTAGGGTGCAGGTCTAGGGGTTTGGGGTCTAGGGCTTAGCGTGTGTAGGGGTTTAGGTTTCAGGCGGGGTTCGGGCTTCAGGGTTTCGGGGTTTAGGGTGTAGGAGCTGAGGGCAAAAGGGTTCATCGGTTAAGGGTGCAGTGGCTGAGGGTTCAAAGAGTTGGGATTCTTGAGTGCTTGGTGTGTAGAGGGTACGTACCCTAGACCCTAGATCCGAAGACCCTGAAACCTAAGCCTACACCCTAAAACTCTACAACCGCCAAGCCCCAAAATCGAAAACCCCACACCACAGAGGGGCGGGGGTACCTTCCTTGGGCGGGGGGGAACGGGAAGGGGGCCGCCATGTGTGTGTGTGTGTGTGGTCCCAAGATAACTAAGTCGGCTTCAAGATGGCCCTACAGTAATTTTCGAAGCTCCCTAACTGCTTCTGCGCCAGGCTGCTGGCCTGCATGGGGCCCGTCCGAGACCCAGCGGGGCAGACTCTGCGCGGTTAGGGTTTAGGGTTCAGGGTTCAGGGTTTAGGGTTTAGGGTTTCGGGTTTATAGGGTTTCGGGACGCCCAGGGCTTTCTGAGTTGAAGTGCCTGTCCTGAAGATGAACGATTCCCACGAAGTACTACTGGAGTGTAAGGGAGGGGGCCAGGTTTTGGGGACGGTTCGTGGGCAATGCAGCTTTCAGTGAAGGATTGATTCGGGCCTGATTTTGGAAAATATCGTAGGTAGCATAAGAGCCCTACCCTATAAACCCTATAAACGCTAAAAACCCTGAAAACCCTAAAAACCCTAAAAACCCTGAAAACCCAAAAAACCCTAAAAACCCTAAAAGCCCTGCAAACCCTAAGAACCCTAAAAACCCTAATTGTCAGGCTTTTAGCCCGTAAAGCTTCCAGCTTGAACCGGAAGGTTCTAGCTCCCAAGAGCTTAGGGCTCCAACAAGGCTCCCTAGAAGGGCATGAACATGTTTAGGGTTTAGAGTTTAGGGTTTAGTTTAGGGATTAGGGTTTAGGATTTAGGGTTTAGGGTTTAGGGTCTAGGGTGCGGAGGGCAGGAGAAGGATGTGCCAAGCTCGTCGCCCATCCACTTGCCAGCGGAACGCGCCCTCCAGCCGCAGACCTCACACTACGGCCCCATCCCGACTCCTTTCCCCCAAAACCTCCAAGCTCTGAACCCCCAAGCCGTTCCCTGGGGCGCCACGTGCCTACGATTATTTTTGCGAGGTTATGCCCTATATTTAGGGGGTTAGAAGCCCTAAACCCCAAACCCTAAACCATAAGCCCTAAACCCTAAACCCTAAGCCCTAAGCCCTAAGCCCTAAGCCCTAAGCCCTAAACCCTAAACCCTAAACCCTAAACCCTACCCTCAACCCTAAACCCTAAACCCTACCATTTTGTTGACCAGGCCGCTCCGCGAAGCAGACCCGGGCGCAGGCCATCGTGCGCCATGCCAAGGCCGGTGTTAAGCTCTCGGCTGCCGGGGTAGGGTTTAGGGTTTAGGGCTAGGGTTTAGGGTTTAGGGCTAGGGTTTAGGGTTTAGGGCTTAGGGTTTAGGGCTTAGGGTTCAGGGTTCAGGGTTTAGCTCGGGCGGTGATTCCTACGGAGGGGGCTCATCAGGAAAGAGGGGTTGCTCTTGCGTTGTTGTTGGGGTGTGCGTAAACCCTAAACCCTAAACCCCAAACCCCAAACCCTAAACCCCAAACCTCAAACCCTAAACCCTAAACCCTAAACCCTAAACCCTAAACCCTATACGGGGGGACAATCAAGGAAGGAAACCAACTCCCCTAATCGCCCTGAACTTATATTCCCCAGATCGAACCAAGAAACAAACAAGAACACGGATAAGAGCAACCCAGGGGGGAAGGAAAGGGGGAAGGAATCCACACCCTTACCAAACCCTAAGAACCCAGGCACTACTTTTTGAACTTGTGGCTTTCTGTTCAAGCCCATCTTGAGCCAAACATGATTTACGGGTTCATTAACCCTTCCAACTTCCAACACTAACTCTTTTCTACAATACCAATTGCAGCTCCGCACTCCCCCTGTCCTAGGATTTCCTAGGACACATTGGAGATGCAGATCTTTTGGCCAAAAACTGCCATTAAGGCAGCAGCCAGCTGCTTGAAATGCAAGTTGTGGTTTAACGTCTTCCAGGACGGAATTATAGCACATTGGCTAACCTACTACCCATAGAGAATCTCTTTTCACCATGATCCTCTCATCACTGAAGACTCCTTGGCCTTCTTCACCACAAACCGTGGTCTTCGCTACGCGAAAAGCTACTGACTTCTACTATCAGGGATTTCCATACCCTTAATAGTAACCACCACATTGTCAGCACATTGGCTGTTCCAGCGCACCTGTCTCCAGAAAGAGAAAAACTATCCCTTCATCCATACCATCCAATCACTTCTTTTTCCGATTGTTGGCAATCTTGAGGTGAAGTTGCAGCAGAATATACTCCAGGTCCGAAACTGTAAGAACAGGATCCTGTACGCCCCTTTGAATTGAGGATACCAATCCTTCTCTCTTTGCGTCCTCAATCGCCTGGCAAGATTGACCCAGCTCTTCATTCGCAGTGGCAGACCCTGGTGCATCCGCATCAGATGGACGATCCTTTTCCTCAGGATCTTGCACCATTACCACCTCTTCTTTTTTGGGACTCTGACTTTTCTCCCTCTTCTTTGTCTTTCCACCGACATTTGACTTTGTGCGCGTCTTCGAGGATTTTTCCACTGCAGAAGCCACCACATTGGATGTTGATCCACCCTTCTCAATGATCGTCGGCATCTTCTTCGGCTTTGGAACCATGAGAGTGTAAGGATCTTCGATAGCTGCAGCTTTCCTCTTCTTTTTTACCTTTTTCTTCTCTTCTTCAACGGCAACCTCCGTCTCCGAAGTCTCAACCACTCCTTTTTCGGCAGGAATATCCTTGCTGGACTCCCTTTCTAGGGACCTCTTTTTACCTCTTTTGGGATCCTTTTCTTCTCCCAAATTGGCTCGCTCATACCATATTTTCAGGTCATTGACCCATTCTTCCACCTCCGCGAGCGAAACCTCATACGACTTCACTACTTCGAGAAGTTCCAGCACGGTCAACATTTCAGTGGTCCACGAAACCCATTCTTGATCCATTTGGTCAGCATCTCCAGTGAACTTCAGGAGTTTGAACAATGGGTCCGCCTCTGCTCGAGCCAAATCTGGCTTGCCACCGGACAGAAATGAAATCGCCTCCATCAACAGTTCCGTCATCTTGGTCTCTTCGTCATAAACCATAAAATCCTCCTCATCATCATCGAACTGTTCAGGAGAGATCTCCTTTTCTCCACCATTTGCACCAGACTTTCTCCTTGGACCATCCCTTGGGGGCGTCCTTGGAGACCTTGGCCTCTGTTCTTCCAGCGGAACACCATGCTCGAAGACACACCTGTCACCAAATCGACACTTCCCAGACCGAGCAAACTGGACGCACCTCACACCAGTTGCATCATGCGAGAACCCACAATCCTTTCCAGCGAAACATTCTCTCCCTGCCACATAGTATTTACACCAATACGAATGTAGCACCACATCATCTTCGGAATGGATGAATTTGCAGTCGTCACCAAATTTGCAGCGATCTTTCCCCTTGCCGAACCAATAGCAGAAGCCCTTCTTCCTCTTCTCCAAGCGCTCTGCCTCATACCGGTCCATAGGGCGATTGTGCTCTACATGAACATTGCCATGTACCTGGGGACTGCTCCCTTCACCCGACGTGCTATCAGTATTTGGTGCTTGGAGTACAGCTGGAAAACCTGGCCTTGGTCCTACCACCTTCATGATCGGTTTTCCGCCAACTCCTGAGCCATGCTGAGACGATCCAAAAACATTGAACATCTTCGTGAAGGCCTTTCTAGTGCCAATCTTCTGCACCCTTTTGATTGGACGTTTCATTGCTCCAACCTTGCATCCAGATGCGTTCAAACGACACAACCTCCTATAACCAACTCTATGTCCCTTCTTCCAAAGAGCCATAAGAATTTTAGAGGCAGTAACATTCTCCACCTCTACCTTTTCCAATGGTCCCTCACTTCCCGGAACAAACCCATCCATATCTGAAGACCTTTCCATCTTTTTTGACACCACTTCGTCGAGGTAGTCTTCCGAGATCCAGGGTAAGTTCCCCTTAGAGGAAGGATTGTCATCATTGTTTGGTCCTTCACCAGGATACCCTTTTGTGCTGTCAAAGATCTTACCAGTAGTGCGGTCCTGCATAGAGAAATTCGAAGCCACGCGGGAGTACACTGACCACAAGAAAATCCTTGTGTCCGCCAGTCTTGATGACCCACTGGATGTCTCCTCTTCCGGAGAAACTTCTGGCGCTTTGCCATCCCCTCCAGTGTCACCACTTGTCTCACCTCCAGCATCTTCAATGGGAATAAGGGATTCATTGTTCCCTTGATCAAGCACCGCATCCTCTGGTCCAAGAACTTCCAGCACCGCTGTCGAAGGATCCACCTCTTCATCAGCATCGTCGTCCATCCTTCTCCAGAGAGCCTCCAATTGGTCCGCACAAGTCGCCGCTTGAAGGAACTCCATCAACCGAGCCCTGCTGCCAGAGAAATTCCGAAACCATCACCGACCCTTGGGCTCCAAGATTCAGGAATGGGTGAACCGTTTTGGCTACCCTCGCCATAAGTTCAATATGAACTTCCATGCCTGGACTGCGGCTCCAATCATAGGCAATTGCCTCCATAGCAGTTCCAAACTTGTCAGTATTCTTGAATTCCCCTTCCAGACCAGGAGACAACAAGGCACCCATCACCGAAAGAGGGTAATTTCCCACCGCCGGCAAGCACGGGTTGTCATGGAACGAATGATGCAGGTCACTATAATGCCCTTGATCTCTCCTTTGAAAAAGGAGTGCTCCAGTCCCTAGCTGGGCATTCATTTCATCCACTTGAACCATTTCAGCACATATCCTCTGTGCCATGTACGCCATTGCTGGCCAGACGGAACGATCGGTAAGACCGCGACGCATAACCCAATCAGTTGTTGGCGACTGAATCAGCGTCCTTGGATCATACACCAGAACAACCATCGCACCGTCACCCATTGACTGATCAGCATCGTCCTCCAGTGCCAGGTTCTCATCCTGTTCGCTTGCACCCTCGGATGACATGCTAATAACCAAATTTCGATCCATCTTATTGGACCCTTTTTGGCAGTCTCTTTGCCCCACCGGCAACTTGCCAACTGCAACCTTCCAATAAATCCGAGTCAGAAGGCCTTTAACCAGCAATTGCTGAAGGTCATTCCTCACCGGACCACCCTCCAATATCTTCGCATCATCACCACGGAGTTCATTGCTCCCACCTTCTCCTTCTTTTTGGTCAGTCTCCTCGCCAGAAATCTGTACTGCTCCTTCCGGCGCCGTCTCCTGTCCAGCCACTTCTTGCCCAGGAAGAACTTGAGCGCTTTCAGAGACATTCACCTGTCCAGCAACACCTTGCCCAGGTAAAACCTCATCCGTGGAGCCCACCGCCAGCGAACCAACCATAACTGAACCATCCCTTGCTCTTTTTTGAGACCGTTCAGCTCGACGAGAAGGTTGTGGTAGCGAAAAAACTTGTGAAGTCACTTCTTGGCGGGTCTCCCCCCGCGACGCTTTGTCGCGCCCTTCGCCAAGGTGAACCGATTTTTTCGGCCCGTCATTGGAGCCTGAAGAACCACTTTGCGGAACATTGCCACGATTCGCAGTTCTCTGTGAATCCCTTTCTTGCAAAAAGATTTCCTTCAGGCGTTGTACGGCATTGGTCTCCTCTTCGCTTGAATCGCTTGAGGAAGCGGCATACGAGACCAAAGCCTCCGCCTGTTCATCATCATCCACCACATCTGCCCACGCTCTGCTGAACCGATACGACAACCCACCACGAGGCTTCAGTTCCAGTGGCTTCGGCTTTTCCACCACTTCCGCCGGTTGCACTCGTCGTTGTGACCGAGAGCGTGGCACCTGTCGCACCTGTTTTTTGTCCAGCAAGGGCCTTCCCCTTCTCACAGGGTTTGATCTTGACCGATACTTTTTTGTTGGTGGATTCACCGGCGGCATTCCAACTCCCACCAACCGCAGCTTCTGTACGCACAACGGAGACCTCTGCGCAAGCGTCCAACCATCACGGTACCTGACCTTATCAAAAAGCTCCCGATAGGAGCCTCTCGGCATAGTTTTTGCACCGGAGTCTTCAGCTTCACGCACCTGAGTGAGGGTTCGCACCGTCGCTCTTCCAGTTCCTTTGTTCCCAGAAGATTGTTGTACCCGTACAGATGCATCAGAAGGAACTGCCTTTTCCGGTCCTCCCGGGCGATATCGGACATCACCAACCAATTGCAGAATTTTGCATGCGGTCACTTTGTTGATCCCTTTGTCAACCAAATCTTCCACAAAGATGAACTCTTGCAAGTCCGACACATTGGTC